TTTTAGGTCTCTTTTTCTAGTAATTTAACGTTTTTCTTAATAGATGTTGTAGATACTAATATCTGTAGGTCGTCTATAGAAGAAGAGGAGTAGATATTTCTATTTGTTGTAATTAACTAAAATAGTGGTTTTGTATAGATTAAAAATAGGATTAGAGAAGCGGGGCTGCCTTAGGGCGTACTAGTGTTTACCTCCTGTAGATCTTTTACTTGGCCATCAAAGGATAGCTCTAGTAGTCTGTTTTCTAGGAAGGATTTAGTCCAGGATAGCAGGCAGCAGGGAAGTCCTTGATCCTTCATATTTTCTAGTAGCTTATTTTCAGCCACGTGATTAAAGGTTCCTTTTATGTCTAGAAATATAGTTATAGTAGTCCTATGCTTCTTTTTCTGCTGCTATATATTATTATAGAATAGGAGAGCGGCGTCAATTGCTAATTTCTTCAATCTCCCGCCTAACTAGGTAGGGTGGAGTAAGTCTGTTGTTTCTGCTAGTGCTCCTAATCGTCTTGCAAATAATCTTTCTAGTACTTTCCCTAGGCAGCTTAAGAGTGAGATAACTCTATATGCCTTTGGGATAGAGTAGTCTGGCTTTCCAGGTTTCTTTAGAATAACTCCTTTAGCTTTTCTCTAGCACTTTAGTTGGTAGCTAAAATTAAATAGAGCTAAATATATCTTAAAGAGTAATTCTAGCTATGCATAATAGACTTTTTAGACTATATCCTAGCTAATTAAATCTAGTCCTGGCGAGGTAGCTTTTACGCTTACGTAGGCGAATTCAAGCTCTTCTTTTGTTAAAGCTAGCCACTCCCATCTACTATCTCCTTTGTAGGTATTTAGTAGTAGGGCTGGAGTAGATAGTGGTGGGGGGAAGAGATCTTCTCTAAAGGCTTGGCATTTTTCTCTAAAGGTCTCCTTGCCTTTAATAGCAGGTATCCTTATAGATAGGTTGTCTTTTGTGTAGGCCATAGCTTTAAATATCTCTTTTGGCGTCTCCTTTTGTAGGAAGGTTTCCAGTGGTTAAGCTTAGCTTTTTTAATAGCTTTTAGAGATCTGTATTTTGCAATAAGATACTCTTTTTCCACTAGTTGATTTGGC